TCGGAAGAGGGGACAGTTGACATAACTATTGATTAACATGTCTTCTTAAAAGTATTCAACAATTGTTTCACTTTTTATCCCGAAACTGATTATTCAATAATACTTTATGTTATATTTATAAACAAATACTTTTAATATTTAAATAATTAAAATGTATTTCGAATGGTACTTTTTACAGCACATTAAACTTATAACTATACTAAATCCCTTTCAAATAATCCAAATGCTGCCCTCCCATCATATTGTTCTATCGTCCACAAAATTTTAATTTGCACAAAAACACAAGAGAATAATTAATTCTTTGTAGATGTATGTAAAAGTAAATAAATTTGTGAGATGAAAACTAAAGTGGAAGCCAATAGGAATTTATGCACACCACCATTTTGTATGGTGAGTCATGTAAATTTTCATTATATTTTATATTAATCATCCGATATGGTTAGACTCTACAATAATCATCTTCTCAACTTAATTTGAAGCTTAGCATCAATAAATAAATAATAGTTCCAATTTTATTTGACAAGTTATATTATTCATATAACATTTATTTTTCTCAATCTCTCTCTTTCAAATTACATATCATATCTCATTTTTTTTCCTATCTCTCATGTTTGTAAAAAAAATATTGTATAATTTTGTTGTACAAATATGACTTCTCTTTTTTAAAGTTAATTTCTCTAAAGTAAAAATATTTTGTTTTAAGAGAAAAAGTGTAATAATAATTATTAATTAAAAAATAAATGATATATATTATAATTAATTTTAAATTTTATTATATATGTATTCAATTTTATAGTTGTAAGTACATTTTATTCTTTACTGTGCACTCTTTTCATTTTAGAGGATTTGAATCTCTTTTTTAATAATAGCACTTTTCTTTTATAGTTAGAGAAGAAGAAAATTACTTATTTATTTAAAGTCATAGTATATTTATATTATGGCATCTCTCTTATTTTTGTTATATATTTATAGGTTTTAATATTAATTTTTAAAAATATTTGAACATTCTTAACTTGATTCTTAATTATATTCAAAAACTTCATTCTAAAGTAATCTATATATAGTATATTAAATTCATCCGTGTGAATTCATGATTTATTTTTTCCTTTCATTTTTTTTTTGAGGAATTTTCCATCTTTTCATTTATTGTAATATTTGATTGTAATTATAATTATATTATTCATACAATAATTTTTAATAATATGTTTTTTAATTACATTAATCATATTATTACACGTATGTGTGCTCATGTGATGCTTATCCAAAAAAAAAATGTGTGCTCATAATCTCTCTAATAAAAATTAGTCACTACTTTTGATAATCAATATTTTGTGTTATTATCATAATTAAAAGAAAATCATATTATTACACTTTTTTTTTGCTTAATTGCGTTTTTTATCTCTCAAGTATTGTAATTGTGCAATTTTAATCCTCAAAGTTTTAATTGGGTAATTTTAGTCCCTAAAAGATTGTAATTGTGCGATTTTGGTCTTTCAATATTTAATTGAACAATTTTAATCCTTTAAATATCCTAATTATGCAATTTTAGTCTCTCTTATTAAAAATTTAATAATTTTAATATATATATATATATACAATATTTTAAAATTATACAATTATTTATCTATTCAAGTTAACGTATATTATAATTTTCGTTAATGTATCAA